CAGAGGGGCAGGATCACTCCCTCACCCTGCTGGCCATGCTTCTTTGGATGCAGCCCAGGATACAGTTGGCTTTCTGGGCTGTGAGGGCACATTGCTGGCTCATGTCCAGCTTGCCATCCACCAGTTCCCCCAGGTGCTTTTTGGTGGGAGCTTAGCATTTTTCTCCAAGCTTCCTGAGGGTGCACTTGATCTCAGAGTCGATGTAATTAATGAAGATATTGAAGAGCATCAGTCCCAGATCTGAGGGACACCACTTGTCATTGATCTTCATCCAGACTTTGAGCCATTGGCCATCACTCTCTGGATATGATCTTACAACCCGTCCATCAAACTGCCCACCTATCAAATCCATTCCTTTCCAATTTGGAGAGAAGGATATTACAGGGAATGGTGTGGAAGGCCTTACTGAAGTACTGATAGATGGTATCAATGACTCTTCCTTCACAAACACAGTTAACATCATTATAAAATGGGATAAGGTTAGTCAGGCAAGACCTGGTGAAACCATCTGCTTATCCCATACTTTGATATTGCTGTGATTATATTTGAAATGTTGTCTCTGGAATGTATGTGAAGAATTCTCTTCCACAAAGGTATCTTATCCAAACGATCAAAACAACAGAGGAAATAAGAATATACTGTTAAAAGCACAGAACTTAAGAGTAGGAACTTAGTTTTTCAGCAGTTAGACTAGATGAACATGAACTGAAAATACGCTGTTTTAAAAATTATTTTCCTTGAGGCATAAGGACAAAAATTTTGCCCCAAGCCAAAATATATTGCTTTAATTTTAAACTGTGCATATTTACTAATAAGAACAGTTTCATTGTAGCTCTAAAATTAGATGCTGTAACAACTCTAAGGGTGTGAAAACTGCCACGTCAGCCAAAAGGATCACACATTTCTTGTAGCTGTTTGCAATTCATGAACACACTGCAACTGGGCTCAAAATGAAGGTGTTTTTGACAACAAACTACAGAAGTATAGATGTATAATTATAAGAAACCTGCTTTTCAGCCCATTAATTATTAAGATGCGGAGAACAGGTTCCATTTAGAAAAGGAGTTTTATGTTATGAGCCTGTTAATAAGAGGTTATACGTTGGCCATAAAAATTAGGTAAAAGTAATACAAAATCTTCATTGCACAAAAATCTTGTCTTGAGGCATTATTTTAAAGTTTTGAACTGAAAAACAAACAAACAAACCTACAGTTCTGAGTTGTAGAATGGCAAAAATGATGAGTTCAGTCATTCCTTAATTTATCTTAGGATGCTGAATGTTTCTTCAGGATGCACTCTAGCCCAAAATATTAACAGCTTTATGGGGAAAGAGTAGTAGTATTTCTACCTTGCTGAATCCGAAATCCCCTCAAAAATAAAACAAAAAAGAAATGAAAGCCAACTAGAGTTCATTCTTGTAATTATGAAATGTTAGGGTGCAGATCTTTTCTCAAAGAGTTAGAACTCCAGTTTCTCATGCATTTTTCCTCCCCTCAGAGAGTAAAAACTTAAGTAGATACTGCCACAAAAAGCTAGAAATGCATTAGACTTGAAATATGCTTCCTCATATCAAATTGAATTGTGATTAGAAAAATGAGAGCATTATTCCAGCTTACTAAGAGATGGACCAACCATCTATATTCTTTTGTCTGGCATTATTATTCTAGCTTTTCTGTTCTATTAGGCATGAGATACTATTTGCCTAAAAGCTGAATTTTCATTCATTGCTTTACTATCTTTCTTTATTATACTTTCAGTCACTGCTTTTGTTCATGCCAACAATTTTCTTCAGATCCTCTGCTCTTTATTACCCTTAATGAAAGTGCTAACACAGACTGGCAGCCAGTGTTACATTTCAGGGTACCAGCTTATTGCACAACATCTGAATCACTACTTGTTACGACAGAAATAGTCTAATGGTAGGATTTACGAGCATGTATGCATAACCATTTTTCTCTGTGTAAGTACGTTGCCGAAGGACGGTTCCTCTTCCTGCTTAATTACTGATGGGGGTTAGACTGTAGGCCAATGCTTCACAGCCACTCCAGAGTAAATCCCATCTTTTCTGTTCCTGGATTGTTGTCTTTTTCTTTCAAAACCTTTGCTGTGTTTTCCCCCACAATTTTCCAGGATGACAGCAACTTGCTCCCCAAACTGTAGGTAACACCGAAGCTCAAAGGTTCTCTTGTGAAGCAGAAGAGCCTGAAATACAACAGAGGATGAAAGACATTATTAGCATTTGTGAATGAACAGCATTATGCCACAGCTGGCAAACACTGTGAACCCTGGAGTGATGCCAGTGGCTGGGTTTGGAGGATGGTTGCTGACAGCTTGATAACTTGTAAAGAGTGAGAATGTCTGATGCCAGGATATATTGGAAGGAGAGTTTTAGAGTCTTTCTTTCTCTTGTTTCCTTTTGTGGCCAGCAACAACAATGGTAAAAGGTGGGCATGCCAGGAGGAGGCAAGCAAAACCATTTTGTGTTTCTTCATGCAAGGTTCTGTAGGAGCAGTCCTCTGCAATGACTGACACCTTTCTTTTCCTCAGTTTGATGTTTAGTGAGTATCTCTGATAAAAGACCTTGGGAAAAATCTCACTTCCAAATATGGCTACTGAGAATATAGATTATGCGTGGAATTTTGGGCTTATGGAAATCAGGAAGCTAGCCTACAATGCAGCACCAGGGCAAGGATGTAATCTGTGCGAATGTTCACTGATTTTGATTTTAAAATTCATCCTTTTTTCTTAATTATTCAACAAACAAGACTTGAAAATTGAAAATAGTTCATATTCTGTGATTTCAGGAAGCTATTAGTTTACCTGCTTGGACCTACCCAGTAACCAATTGTGAGTTAGAGAGCGCCCCTTTCAAAAGGGATAAAAGTGATACATTAAAGTAGTGTAGTTTTCCCATCATTTATCTAGTCAAATTTTTCTTCAGTGGAGGAAGTAAAAGTAAACTCAAAACCTCTAGTGAGATCAACAGAATTCTTTTTGGCTTGATAAGGGCTGAAGATATAAATAGAGCTATAAAGCTTGTTACTGTTTGTAGTTTTTCCCCCTTTTAAGCCTTCCTATTTATGTTGGTAGTATAATTCCGGATATTGGAAAAGAAGCAATCAAATGTGTATCACCTAGACAGAAATGAAGAGAAAACATACAGCAAAGATGTAAAAGAAGTAGCTGCTGTGGTCCTGTCACTCGCATAGCAGTAGGTCAAATAGAATGTGATATGTCTTGGGGCTATGTATTCAGAGCTTACATCTCAGTTCAGTCTATTTTAAACAGCCAGTTCTGTGAAGCTAATGGAAAGCAGATTTGAATTTGCATGCAGATCCCTGGGGATCTGCTGCTTGGGTATTTAAGGAGTATTCATTTGATGATATGTTTCCAGATTATTTAAAGTAACTGTATGGGTTTCCCTTAAAATGAAAAAATGGGGAAGTTCATACTTCAGTTTCAATAAGTAATCATTACTGGAATTGTTTGGGGATATTATATAAATGGTTGGACAGATTGTTTCCTTACCTTGTTGGTAAGGGTAGGCTGTAACCATATCGTATTATGGCTTCTTTGTGATTAGATCATGTTTTTGGAATTAAGAAACTGAGTAGGAGAAATAAAATGTTTTCACACTTCCATACCTTGTTGGTAAGAAAAGCAGTGGTATGTTTTGTTCTGTTTACAGATTGTAAGGCCAGAAAAGGCTGTTGTAAACATTTGGCCTACTACCTTTTATAACACAAGATGTAGAACTCTTCTATGTTAATTCTTCACTATAGCAAAGAGATTTTTAAAAATTATTATTATTTAAAAAAGAAAAGACTATTGTGATATAAAAATTCTATGCAATGGAGAATCTGTCTCAGTTCTGAAGAAGTGGCTAATTGCCTTTATTAAAGAAAGAAGGAATAAAAAGAAAATCAAATTATAATCTTCCCTCTAATCTGAATTGCTTTAGATAAGATTTCAAGCCATCATCTCTTACCAGTCCTTTTCCATGCATAGAAATTAACCTATCCTCAGCATTCTTTTCCACACATGGAGGAAAAGAATATAATCATAGTGCCCTTCAGCCCTCCCCTTTGATAGGCTATATAGATTGAGTTCCTTCAGTCTTAAGCTGTTCGGTTTTCCAATTCAATCTATCATCCTCTTAACTGTTCCCAAGAAATTTCTACAATTTTTTCACTAGCTTTCGTGAACAGGGTGCACCAAAAGTAGGCATTCTGTTCCAGGTGTTATTCCTCCAGCACCAAAACCAAGCATAATGTAATCTCTCTGCTTGTAATTTCCAGACTGTTTGTTCAAGAATGATATAAATGATTTTGACAGTGCTGTCATAATACCAGAAGGTCATTTAAAAATGACTAGTAGCCATATCCCTGAATCTTATCCATTATTTTGCTTCCCAAGAGTTTCTCTGTCCCATTGCCAGGACCTGCTCCAATGTCCACTCTTAAAGCAATATGGAAAAGCTAGAATTCAGAAAAGAGCTCAAAAAAAGAAAAAAAAATCAATCTGCAAGATACACCTGCTAATGTGACTTCCTTAAACCATTTAAATGACTAGATAGCCTGTGCTCTACCTCAACCAGAAGCTATAAACTTGGCTTAGAAATAATTAAACGAAGTTTTACAGTATGCATTATTCAGAAGATTAGATATCACGACTGTAATAATACTTTCTGATCTTACTGCTTCTATTTTAAAGCTAAATATATGATCTGAAAATAACAGAGTTGGGAGCAACCTTTTGAGTGCTTTTACGATGTCGGTATAGATATTGCTATTTGATGTCATTATAACAAAGGCGCAGTTATACTGCTGCTTAAGAGCAGATATAATTTAATTATACTTTCATCACTTTAATACAGCTTATTTTAATGGAATGTTGAGTCAGTCAACTAGAAACGACTCTTTCCTGCCTCAGTGTTCATGTTAATACCCTTCTGAATTTTTTGTGAAATTGGAATTTAATTTTTGTTTGTTCATTTTTAGCTTCCCAGTGAAGATACTGAAATATTTGAGAATGCTTCACGGTGCTTATCGCTGCTGGTTCAGCTGTACGGAGGGAACAGTCAGGAGAGCATGACTCCAGAAAACATGGGCAGCTTTGCTGAAGTGCTGAAATCCAGAAAAGATACACGGCATCGGAAGGTTTTGTTGAGAATTATAAAGAGACTGGTGAGTCTGCTTCTAAGCATTTTGAAATTCCACGTCAGGTTTTTCTTATCATTTGATATTTTGGGGGCTGTAATTTTCCTTTCAAAGTAAAAGGAGCATGAAAGAATTTTGAAAACCAAATATATGAAGTTAAATTCCATGTCTTTAAACTTCAGTTGATTTCTCTGGAGAAGGCTTCTGTTTTTAAATCCTCTTATGAAAAAAAATTGTTGAGTTTTTCCTATGTTCACTTCACTCCTTAGCTATTGAATTAACTCATGTTATTTATGTATTTGTTTAGTACTTCAGCTTTATGGAATACTGAAACAGTTTCCTGAAAGCCTTCTGGAAGAATTAACTTCGTATGGTTAAATAGCTGCTCAGAAGCACAGGCTTTGATTTCACAATAAATAAAATGCTATTCTGTATTTGAAGTTCATTTCTATGTAGATTGTTCTCACCAAGCATCCAGTTTTGCTCAGCCCTATCTTTCCCTAGAAGAAGCACAAATATAGAAAACGGAAATTGGAATGACATTTAAAATTGGTGGTTTCTCTCATTCAGGTTATCCTCCTAAGAATTATTCATCTCCTTTATTTGCTCATGCTCTTCTAAAAAAAAAAAAAAAAGTTCTAACAAAAAATTTAAGACAATTCCTATTTATTTTTTCCTTTGCTTCTCATTCTGTGTAATTGTTATGCTGGCTAGAAGAGTTTTGTTTGTTTGTGGGTTGGTTTGTTTGTTTGTTTGTTTTTTGTTTCTTTTCTGCAATAACAATTAAGAGGAAAAGGCAAAAAAAATGTGAGGAAAGGAAGGAGAAAGGAGATTGTAATAAACATATCCAGATTATTTCCTTTTAGCATAGCTACAGAGTGGTTGCATTTTGAAGGCTGTGATTCAAAAGTTGACTCTGCACACAGGATGTTTAACACAGAAATGTCTATTGGCTATCTTAAGAGAACAAAGCTATACTATCACCTTTTGAATACTGGAAGATCCTACGGTTTGTTTTTCTCTCAGTTGCATACCAGTGATGCTGGTACTTGTTATTTATATCAGACAGATTTTCTGTAATTACTTTAATGAGACCATAGAATTCCTTTTGAAAGCAAAGTTCATACATAATTTGATAGATTATTTAATAAATTGTACATTATTTCTCTAAACCTTAAAATGCCCTGTTCAGAGGAGATGATTATCTTGTCATAATCACAAAAGACATAGAAATATAATGATATCTATTTAACAAGGATTCAGCCCACATCATCTGTTCATGATGAATTTTAAAGCCTTGAATGGCATTTTTCAATTTTTTTTTTTTTCATAAATGGCTCATACGTGAGCAATATTTTAATAGGAGGATCTCTAAGTGCACCAGTCTCTATTCTTGCCAGTCAGTGTTTGAACCGAGTGTCTTTTCAATATGTGATCACATTAACTTTGATATTAGAGACACGGGTATTGCTTACATAATAGGGATTAAATTACACTTAAAAAAAGATAGGGATATTATAAAAAGAAATTACTGTTTATGGTATAGCTGTCTTTATGGTATATATTTCTTGTAATAGGAAAATGGCATGGAAGTAAGACCAGCTAGTCTTTTTCAAGAGTTTTGTGTGTCTCCAGAGGGCCAGCAGAGGTGCATCTCCCAATATCAGAATCTTCAATTTAAAACCACGTCAGAGAAATTCTCAGCATACAACACTGCCTAAACTTGATGAAATGGAAATTTATATTTTTATGTTGTTTTAACTAATAGTATTTATGAGGTTTTGCCTCCTTTTTGTGGACAAAGTTGATGTGTTGTTTCTAATGTGAGCATTTCTCATTTATCAGACTTGTCCAGCAAATTGACTGCAGAACAAAGTAAACTTCCTGCAGCACTTTCTTCACTGATTTTTGCCCTACAATTTTGTTATATTCATTTGTAAGCAGAAATACAGATTTGGGCCAGACTAGGTCAAGAAGAAATCTAAGTACAGTTACTTATTAATGCAAGGTATATGAACAGACCCTTTTTGGTTTTTTTTCTGTCTGAGAACCTTTTTCTGGTTGTCAGCTGACACCTCCAGATCCTTTTCCTCTGCACAGTTTTGCAGTCACTCTGCCCTAAGCCACTGTCACTGCATGGGATTATTGTGACCTTAGCACTTAGCACTTGGCCTTGTTGAATGCACACAACCAGACAGAGCCCACTGATCCAGCCTATCCAGATCCCTGTAAAGCCTTCCTACCTTCAAGCAGTCCCTGCCTAACTTGTTGTTGCCTGTAAACTCACTGAGGGTACATTTGATCCCCTCATCCAGTTGACTGATAAAAATGTTAAACAAAATTGAACCCAGTACCCTGAGAAATACCACTACAGACTACAGGCTGGCTATCAAACCAAATATGACTCCATTCACAGTGACCTATTGGGCCTGCCCATCCTGCCAGCACACAGTGCACTTGTCCAAGGCACGAGAAGCCATCAGCAGTTTCTTGAAGAGAAGTCCGTGGGAAACAGCACCAAATGTCTTGCTAAAGTCCACGTAAACAACATCCACAGCCTTTCCCTCATCCACCAAGGTCATCATTGTAGAAAGAGATCAGGTCAGTCAGGCATGACCTGCTTTTTGCAAACCCATGGTGAGCGAGTCCTGGATGTGCCATGTGGTGGCAAATTAAGATGATCTGCTCCATGACCTCCCCTGGCACTGAGCTCAGGCTGACAGCCTGTGATTTCAAATCCTCCTCCATGCCCTTTTTGTAGATGGATGTTGTGTTCTCTGTCCTCCAGCCAGCTGGGACCTCCCTGGTGTAGCCAGGACTGCTGATACACTATTGGAATTGGCTTGGCAATCGCTTCTGCCATTAAGTTCAGCACCCTTGGGTGGATCCCATTTGGCACTGTAGATTGTGGATGTTGAAGAAATGATTTTATTGTGAAAAGAAATCATTAGAGTTAAGAACAGAAAAAAATGTACTTTCAGTTAACTTTTTAAACTATGTAAGAAAGGATCACTGAAAAGCCTTAAAGAGGCAGCACTGGCCATCTTCTCTATGTTTTTTTTACAATGAACTCCTAGCTGTCAAAGCTTTTGACTCTGTCAGACCCAGGTTAACCAGTCTTTTTCAGGGATGTTCTCTTACTGGCATTGATACAAAGGACGGAAACTGAATAAAATCACTGAGTCAAAGAAACAGGTATTTTTTTTCTTCAACCCTTTTGCTAACTCTCCTGTTCTGGTTTCTTCATCTTGAGTTAGACAATACTGCTATTCAGATTTTTAGCGACATCTGTGTAACTGAACAGCAATGTCAGAAGAGTGCTCTTGTTTCATCTTTTAGTTTTAGAAGCCTCTCCTGCCACCCTTTGTGGAACCTGCTATCTTACCACTTCATTTTTGCTGGGGGAATATGAAGTATCTTGTTTCAGTTCAGTAAATCACCTACATTGAAGTACTTCTTTGTGAAGTGGGAGAGATTTTCATGGGGGAAGCATATAGTTCAACTTCTGCATACTTTACTAGAAGACTAATTTCTTTTTCCCCACAGAAAAAATGTCTACCTGCCAGCTCAAATCAACATCTAGTATGTAATGTGAAAGCAAGTGATTATCACCAGAACTTTTTAGAACTAGCCAATGCCTTCTCACTGGACACATAATCACTGTGAGATTATAGCTCGGTACAGGCTAATAATATGTTTCATCTTTCAAACCAACAGAAAATGCTTTTCTATTTTATTTTGTTTTATCTGGCAATAGGGAAAAATTCCTCTGAGAAAAAAGAATAAACGTCAGGCTCTAACAGGCAGTTCTCCTCTCACTGCGCAGAGTGAACTTCTGTTCTGTGACTTTTACTTTAAATCCTTGTCAAAAAGTATATTTGAATTCCACCTAAATCACACTTTTTTCCTCTGATCTTCTTTCTAGAACCTGATTTTCACTAATTTGCATATCATAACTGTCAAAAAGTAGCTCATCCTTTATTTTTGAGCAACTAAGTCATTTAAGAAGTGATCTGTGTGTCAGATATTCTGTGGGGGATATGTAGGAGGATTTCTCAAATTGCATTAGTCTGTGTAGAAAGATGATAAGGCCAGAACCGTGGTACATGCACTATGACAAAAGTCCATATATTTATTAAAAATTGCTATGATAGTTCTCAGACTAGGTCCTCATTATCTTAATCACTATTACACGTTTTGAGGAAAGACACTGAGAGCTTGAAAAGCGATATGGTATGATATGAGGTAACAACTGCATTCCCTCCGAAGGTTGAATTTCTTACTGGAGTTTTCCTCCTCAGTGAACTCCTGCACAAATATCAGCTCAGAGCTTGCCTCAGAGAAAGAAAAGCAAAATCTCAAGAGATTTTCAGTGTCCCTTTAGCATCTTCAGATCTGAGTATTCAGCACCACAAGGAGGTGCTTGTGTGGCAATTCCCAGCGGTCTGCTTTTCCAGAGTTTATAAAGCTAATGAACCTGCTGGCACATCTGCTCTGAGGGCGCACTTCTCTCAAATAGCCTCAGTTAAGTGGAGAAAAACTTCTTACACATCTTTCTCCTAATCTGAATCTCTTAAGAATACCTTTTCTTAAATTACTCACTGAAGCAATACGTAGTATTTCATTGCTCTAAGGATTGATGTTATGACAGAGATGCTTGTTAGACTCTGAATACCATACTTGTGGGTTACTGGTGTGTATTGCTCTAAGTGCACTGGCTGTTGAAATGTTTCCATGAAATTATACGTCTTCTTACTATCTGGATCATTCTTACACAAACAAGTTCTTCCCTTCATTAGTACAGCTTATTGTCAAGTTGTTAGCAAGCTTGCATCTCTTCATTATAGAACATCATTGAGTGCCTTCAGTCTGTAGTAGAAGAACATGCTTAGGTAGGATGAAGCATTTCATAAAGAACTAAAGATTCCCCCAAGAAGAAAACACACTTCATGCCTATCTTAGACAGGATGAATTTCTCACAATGCTCTGAAGAAGACCGATGGAAAGGCTAATGCCACTTCATTTCT